TCCTCATCAATTGCCGATACGATAACCCCAAACCATGTTGCGCCATCAATCCTGCAAGAAGCAAAAAGTCACACATCAACTTAACAAGAACAATCAATCGGAAATATCAAAACATACCCTCTAAATCAAAACGCGGCCGAGCCGATTTGGGCAGCAACACTAGAAACCGAGAGGGGATGCACTTCGGCAATCCTTTCAGGATGTTCAGGTCCGATAACTCGGCCTCGATCATCATGTCCTCCGGAAAATCATCATATTTCTGAGGCTGACGAGTCCAATAAAAAGGAAAAAGGGGTTTCTGCTCGGCATCATAAAAATAATTCCGACCGGCAACGGGGTCAATGATCACCTTTACAAACCCCGACTTGAAACCCTTGAAGGACGACGTGAATGGAGTCAGCAATGGCCGGTCGCCATTCCGAATTAAAGAAAGCCATTTGACGGCCTTATTAGAAGGACGGGTATAGAAAAAATGCAAAAACACACCTACGGTCGGCTCTATATAATGGTATTTACATAGCACCCTAAAAGCTTGCATATAAGCCCATGCGTTCGGATGCAACTGCGTCGGGGCTACATTCAACACTCGAAGGACCCCCATTTGGAAACTGTCGAAAGGGAGCGACATGCCGAGCTCCCGGAAAAAACACTCATACATATAGAAAAAGTCTCCGGCACCTTCTCGCTTCTCAAGGAAAACCCAATCCAGCTCCCCAGGGCCCTCGGCCCGGCATCGACGCAGCATGATCGGGTAAGGATCCCATCCTTCCCACCGGCCTATTTTGTAACGATTAAGCATACGTATCACGGCAGCCCTCTCATGAAAACGGGAGAAGTATGCGGCAACCTCGCCGTCTACCCAATCGTACCCGGGGACTTCGCACGGAGGAAACTTCAGCCGATAATCCCCGGGATTCATCTCGGCATCGGGCAATTCCGACCCAGATGAACTCCCAGATCCCTCACTATTTTCGGTTCCCGACCCACCGGGACCCCCAATTATTTCCACCTCGGCGTTAAAGGCTAACACCTCGGCTTCGGCATCTTGCGCCGACACCCTGCCACTGGCCGACGACCCTGACGATAATGTCACACCTTCGGTGGCCATTATCAAACAAAACTAACTGAAAATGCAAAAAACAAACCTTTAGAAGTACTCGGCTCAAACGACAAACGCTATCGGGGCGGTATAACTAAGCTGTGAGACATGGAGTCCCACCCACACGCCTTTTATAGGCCACGCACGGAAGCCCAAAAGTCTTGTAATAAATGCGCCTGAACACGAAGAGACATAACCATAGGGTGCGAAACCCAACGGCGGCCGTGGCATGCAACGGTCACTATCAACACCGCACACCCCTCGAATTTCACGCCACCCCACTCCCAACACATCACCAAGACCGAACCGTTTCCACACCTAAAACCCCATCGTCTTTCATTCCTTGGGGCTTGGGGGGGTAGTGTACTACTAGGCACCCCCTTCGGTCACTAGGCACCCCCTTCGGTCACTAGGCACCCCCTTCGGTCACTAGGCACCACCTTCGGTGGCTAGACACCCCTCTCGGTCAAACGATAGGCCGAAGAGGGGACCCGAACCGAGGCAACACTAACCCTTTCGGCTAGAACCAAAGCCGAACACGTCCCTCGGATGAGAAAGCCACCTCAAGACTTATCTCGAAGATACCCCTTGGGCCATGGAGAAAACTCCTCGGCTTGAGGACAACCCGAAGACCTGTTCGGCCTCAGCACAGGCCGAATACGTTCTTGGTCTTAGGAGAAGCCAAGCACCTCCTCGGCCTAGGGGAAGGCCGAGTACCTCCTCGGCTTGAGGACAACCCGAAGACCTGTTCGGCCTCAGCACAGGCCGAATACGTTCTTGGTCTTAGGAGAAGCCAAGCACCTCCTCGACCTAGGGGAAGGCCGAGTACCTCCTCGGCGTGAGGACAACCCGAAGACCTGTTCGGCCTCAGCACAGGCCGAATACGTTCTTGGTCTTAGGAGAAGCCAAGCACCTCCTCGACCTAGGGGAAGGCCGAGTACCTCCTCGGCTTGAGGACAACCCGAAGACCTGTTCGGCCTCAGCACAGGCCGAATACGTTCTTGGTCTTAGGAGAAGCCAAGCACCTCCTCGACCTAGGGGAAGGCCGAGTACCTCCTCGGCGCAGGGTCAAGCCGAGACCCCCTGAAGACAACCCAAAGCCTGTTCGGTCTCAACACAGGCCGAACACGCCATTGGACTTAGGATAAGCCGAACACCTCCTCGGCCTAGGGGAAGGCCGAATACCTCTTCGGCATAGGAACAAGCCGAAGCCCCCCTTTTCGGCTTTGGGCCCAGCCAAAAACCTTAACAGGGGTAGCCCACAAAATACACGGGGCAAATTAGACACTTGCCATACGTTAATTATCATGCCGGATTAAGAACAGATTAAGGTTAATCCAAAGGTTACCCGGTTCCCAAGACTGAAGGCCTACCAGGCCCAATTATGTCACTATAAATACACAGGTGATGTGACATAAAGAGGTACGATTTACTCCATATAAAAGCTCTATCTGCTCTATACCGAATACTTACTTGATCGTCGGAGTGCCTTTGCAGGTACCCTCCCCACCCGTCGGAGATAGTATTCGGTCAACTTGAAGACTTAAAAGAAGACCAAAAAGAAGGAACGATAAGAGGAGTGTTTCTACGCAGGAACAAATATGATACATAAAAAAAACAAACAATAAAACTAATAAAATATTCTAATTATATAAATTTATGTTTAGATATAATAAATATATATATAAGAAATAATAATTTTATTTTACTTTTAAAATAATAAAAAAATAATATAACATAATTATGTAATTTATAAAATAATAAATAAAAAAAATTGAGTCCCTCTTGACTTAAAGGTCTGGTCGCGATGGATTGCACCGGCAATCAAGGCAGGAGTATTATGAAGAAATTTCTGTCATGTTTGCAGTGTGGCATGGGGTGAGATGGAGGGTGTAGATTTGTTTGCTTTCCTGAGAGTCATCTGAAGTGATCATGCATGCATCCCATGCTACGTTTTCAAAGTAATTAAAACTCAATTTGTATAGCTGAGAGATATTTTCCATGTCTTCAATGTTGGTAGTTGTGTCTTGTGTGGGGAAAGAGATGGCTCATTTCTGAGTTGTATAGAAATTATCCGATGACCATTAATCAAACATAAAAATATATTTACAGGTGTCGGTAGGAGGAAAGATAATAAAAAATAGAAGAATTTTACGGTGTTTAATAATATAATATAACTCAAACAAAATTATTTCTAATAAAAATAGATGTTAAAGATAAATATTCACTTTAATTGTTAAATAAAATTTTAAATTTATATACTTAATATTATTTTAGTCCTTTAATATATAAGGAGGGATATTTTAGGAATAAGTTTATCTAAACTTTTGTTCAATAATTCATGTTTTACATCAAATTAATAACTCATAAAAAGTATATATAACCATATAGTTATACTTATGATAAATAAAATTTGATATTTTATATATAATTAGTGATAACTAATTAAGAATGTCTTTGCCAAAAAAATAATTAAGAATTCTTAAGAGTTTAAGAGGTATAAAAATATAATAATTGATAGTAATATATTTAAATTAAAATTAATTATTATTTTATAAAATTAACAAAATATTGGCAACGTCATTAAAATATTACAAAAATACTACTTTGCTAACATTTAAAAAATATTGCCTAATTATATAAAAAGGTTATTAAAATTCTTTAGCAACATGAACTATATATAATATTTGATAATATGTTGTTAAAGCAAATTAGTAACATTTATACATAATTAAGTAACATTTTTCAAATATTGCTAAAAATTATTTGTGTTGTAGTGAATATTATTTGTACATCAGACTCTTTACATGCTTTGTCACACATTGATGAAAATTTTGATCCATTTCATAGATATAACACTATTATATCTACTATTGTGGAGATGAGACAAAAATGTTGGAAAGTGGAGTTCTCGCATTCTTTATAGGAGGGGAATTAATTAGTGTGTTGATTTCCTATCCAAGATGGGTCTGAACTCGGGAGAGTCTAGCTCTTCAAATAGTCACTCATGTGTCTATGCCAGTTGAGAGTTTGTTGTTAGCTGATACAATGGGTGTTAGATTCTTTCGATTGTAATTTCTTATAATTTCTTTATTTTTTTTGTATTACCTTCTTATACCAAAAAAATATATTTACAAGAGCTTATTTTTTTAAAATAACTACTAAATATAGAAAATTAAGATTTTTGCTTTAAGATTTTCAGGAATGTAAAAATATTTCACGTACCAAATACTCCCTAAAAGGAATAAAAACATAATTAAACCTTTCAAATTTTAGAGGAATGAAAAATTAAAAAAAAAATATTTAGAGGGATCAAAATGAAAACTTACTCCTTTTACATCACTTAAGAATATATTTAGACCTAACCTAAAAAGCTGTATCTTACAAAAAAAAAAATATTTATTTCTATTGTTAAGCTAAATCACCATTTTTACCTATTGGACAATTCAATTTAAAATTAAATAGACATTACTCAATAGGATATAATATAAACTAGTATATAGCTTAAATTTAAAATATGGACATCATTCAATTTGTATAGCTGAGAGATATTTTCCATGTCTTCAATGTTGGTAGTTGTGTCTTGTGTGGGGAAAGAGATGGCTCATTTGACTTGGATTAATAAGACCTTGCTGAATATAAATAAATAAATATATATCTTTAGAACTACCATAATTGTGGACTTACGTACATTTCTAGAAATGTATTTATATTTAACAATTTTTTAGTGTTAAGAAATAATATAGAACAAAGTCTTTTAAATTGAGTCATGTTTACTTAAGAATTAAGGCTTAGGAGAGAAGCATTAAGTCTTTTAAATTGAGTCATGTTTACTTAAGAATTAAGGCTTAGGAGAGAAGCATTACAGCATGTAGTACTAATATAAATATGAAACGAATCCTGAGTTAAAAGGCACAAACATTCAACATCAAATCTTATTTGTTGGAGCAAGAGAAGAAGAAAAAAATGTCAATTCCTCCGAACAGTCCCGCGAGAGGGTGTGCTGCAAATTTCCCACAACCGGTGGGGCAAAACGAGATGGTTGCAGCCAATGATCTGGTGAACCTTCTTCAGCGCATTAACCTGCAGGAAGCAGGATTGGAGGAAGTGGTGTACAGACCAAGCGACTTAGAATACGACATACGACGGCCCTTGGTCCGCTGGGACACGAGGCCCTACCAAGACATCTTCGTCAATGGCTTCCAAGCAAGGCCTCGAGGAGACACTCCCAACACCACCTACTACAACTTGGATCACTTCGTCCACAACGCAGGAGCACCACTCGACCCAACTAGGCGTGCCACTCACACCTTCGTCAGCACCACTCTTAATTACGATTGGTATCCCAACCCTACGGTCAGAACTTATATATCACATATACATACTTCAATTTGTTCTGTATATTAATACCCTGCAAGAAAATTATCATAACACACACCAATAATAACACTATACATGTTATTAAAAATTATTTTTATTTATATAATAAATATAATATATATCAGATTTAACATCATAAATAGTATTATGAAAATATTCATTTGTCCATGATAGGTGAGTACCCTTCCGCGAGGACATGTGATGCAATTCTTTCGGTACGAGATCTATGCACCAGGGGGTATTTGGGTTGGTGTCACCCTTAGGGGCAGGTACAATCATGTTTCTCAAGCTGAAGTTTGCTTTGCAGCTGGGATTGCACCTCAGTACATTCGCTCTTGCATCGTTTACACAGCCATACGTGACGTTGATTCAAAGTTAGTACCTCCACCTCAAATAAAACATATATCTACCAATGTTTTATTTTTACTGATAAGATGATTGTACCTAAAATCAAAAAATTACTTTTATTTACAAATATTTAATATAGATAAACTCTAAAATTTTGTACTTCAAATTGATTGTTATAAGTTAAACCCTAAAACTTATAAAGTCATATATATGAAAATTTATACCTATGACTATAAGTGAATTTTCTTGTATAATAAATGATTTCACTCTTGTTTTGTTGCATTGCAGCCATGTGAGCTTCGTCAGAGAAATCAAACTAATAATTAATGGGCATTTCAATCCACAGGCACATCCATATGCCGAGGTCATAATTTATCTTCCCATACATACTTATGAAGATGAAAATGGTGTAGAGAGATACCTACCTGAAGAAACATATCCACCAAGAAACAGTAGTAGCAGATACAAAAGAGAAATATCGGAATCAGATGACAATAACAACGATGCTGCTCACGAGTGGTACACTCACAAAGTTATAGACGTTCCTAGTTACATAAATTCTGCGTTTCGTGCATCTAGCAACAACGAAGCCTACTTATTCATGAAAAATAAGTATGTGCTTGTGAATTATGCTCCAGGATCAACAGATGACAGAATAGTGAACGGACCACTTCGTATTTGCGATGGTTTTCCATCGCTTATTGATACACCCTTTGGAGAATATGGAATAGATTGTGCATTTGACACTGATTACAACGAAGCCTTCATCTTTTGTGCCAACCTTTGTGCCCTAATAGACTATGCTCCGGGAACTACAAATGATAAAATACTCTCGGGTCCTATGCCAATTGCTTCTATGTTTCCCTTCTTCAAAGGCACGGTGTTTGAGAATGGCATCGATGCTGCGTTCAAGGCAACTAGCAACTACGAAGCTTATTTGTTCAGACATGAAAAATACGCTCTTGTGAATTATAACTCCAAGACTCTCATTGCCATCCGTAACATCACTGATGGGTTTCCCAGTTTGATGGGAACCGTGTTTGCGAGTGACATTGATGCAGCTTTTGCTTCTCACCGTACCGATGAAGCTTACATTTTCAAAGGTGAGTTATATGCATTGATCAATTTCGCCCCAGCTACAACCGATGATTACATTGTAGGGACGAGAATAAAGGAAATTCTTCCCAATTGGCCCTCCCTTCGTGATGTTTTGCCTCTCATGAATAGGGGACTTGACTTTCATCATCATGGTCATGGACAAGATCACCACTCAGATCATCGCGACGATGAATTCTAAAAGTCGATTCTAGTGTTATTTTATAATCAGAATTTAAGTTTTACTTTAATAAAAATAAAACAAATTCTGATTATAAAATAGCAAAATGGTACTTTTTCTAATTTATTATATGATGGCGTGTGTGATAAGAATAAAGACTTTGGTTGTCAATGTCTCGTATGCTATCTGCTCTTGGCAACCTCATGTGTTGATGTTTGTTTCCTATTTCTTGATGTGATTTTGTGTTTATGAATGGTTGTGTTGTATGTCGATGTAATATATGCATGGTTTGAAAATAAAACTAAAGAGTGATGTTTGTTTGAGTAAACGGTTTCAACTTTTTTATTTATTTTTTCTTCCGTTGTTTATTATTATGTTAAGAAATTGTGTTCAATATTTTCATCTCGAAAAAGTTTATACACCAATAACAATGAAGTAAAAAATTTAAATAACATACTTTTGATTTTAGCCCTTTCAATTTCAAAAAAATAGTTCATGTATTATTCAAATTATCGACTTTAGTCCCTTTTCAACGTTACAAAGATAGTATCTTAAAAAAATAAACTTTTGAGATGATTCTTAGTAGTTAAGGGTTTTAATAGTTTATATCACATTACTTTCATTGTAAAAAAAAAAAAAGTTATTGAGGTGACTAAAGAGTCAGATATTAAAATAAAAAATAAGATATATATTAGAAGGAGTAAAATAAAAATGAGGTATAATTATAGAGTATAAAAAAATTTAAACAGTAACGTGATATTGCATGACAAGCTAACGCAACAATTAAATCGCAAACTAAGTAATGCCGGATGTAAAAAAAATATTGTAAGAACTATTTTAAAAAATATAATTAAAAGACACAGGCACGCGTACACATATGTATATAGGAGGATTTAAATAGTATTGATGTTATTTTTATCAATTATTCCATTACTCAATAACATTTTATTAAATGTGAATTTTGTTGCTCTAACTGTTAGTTTATAATTTTATATCACTTTATATGTATATATCAAATTTTATTAAAATTAAATATCAATTTAAAAGAAATCAAAATATTTATATTTTAGTATATTTTGATATATATATATATATAAATATATAAAGAGAATACTACTTTTAACAACTATCTTTTATTCTCAAAAAGAATAATATAATTTAAAGATACATATAAAAACATGTTTTTAAATAAATAATAATGTCATTAACATGTATCTTTTTCATTTAAATATAAATAGATTTTCAATAATTAGTTAAAATGAAAATAAAAATTAAATATTCTATTATTAAAGTAAAGTGGATATAAAATTTAACTTTTAGAGCATCTTAATTTTGACTCAAATTTAATATTTATAATAACTAATTAACACTCATAATTTTTAATAAATCACAGTATAATTTAATACCATGACAATATATAATAGAAATTAATTGTTATAACAAGATAAATTCACCAATTCTCACACAAAACATATATATCTTGATTTCTATATGTTAGCGTTAACTTATGACTAAGTAAGTAGGTTCTTAAATAGTCTTATAGGCCAACTTAGGCTTTCATGCATATAGGGTACTCAGAACCTTTAAAACATATCTTTGACAAACGAACAAACAAGTCAAGTGCAGGTCATATTCCTTTAACTAAGGTCAGACTAATCAAACCTATCTTGACTCCGCCTATTTATATCCCTTTGTTGAAATAAGAAACTCGAGTAAAGAATATAATATTCAGGAGTGATTCCCAAATGGATTAATCGTATGTACAGGATGATATATCATTGTGATTTGCTAATTAAAAAAAAACACATGGGTTAAGAAAGAGTTTGAATTAGTCTTATATTTTCTCAAATAAAAAATAATATGATATATTAAAATAATAACAAAATTTTAAAAGATAAAGTTAGTACAATTTTGTTCTATTTAAGCGAAATTAAAAAATTAATGTCTTTTGCTATAAAAAAGTATGTACTATTTTATATCATTTGGTGAAATTATCCTCTAAATTTCCTTCATTTATCAAAGTTTTCTGCTTCAAATCAAATTTCAATATAAAGGATAATTTAGGAAAAAATTTGATTTTTAATTGAGATCAACACAATTTGGTAAAGTTTTTTTTTTTTTGAGGTGACAATTTGGTAAAGTTATATAATTTTGTTCATAAGTGTGAATGTGTGATGTTAATTTTTCTTTATTAATTTGATTATAAATGAGAATGAACGAGTAATAATTTGCTTAAAAGAATACTTAAGAGTAAAATTTAAAAAAAAATCATTATACATATTCATCAATTTATTTGAATTTATATATTTTATTAATATATTAAAAATTTTCTATTTTAAAAATATATTTTATAAACCTTATAAATCAATAATAATAATAATAATAATAATAATAATAATAATAATTTGTAATATATATATATATATAATCACATATTTAATTAACAATTTAACATGCAAAACTTTTAGGTATTTAAGGATTTTATTACTCCTTTTTTATTTAAGTTGTTGGCACTCTCAAATAGAGCAACACTTTTTTCAATTTTATGATGGAGTTTTCGATGGATAATCTTTTAATAACATCCGTTGGAACGTTTAAATTTTTCGATGAAAAAAAATTGTCGATGAAATTATGTAAGAAATTTCACATCAAAAAATCTGTCGCATTTCTGTCAAAACTATCAGTTAGAAATTTTAAATTTTTCAACAGACATATGTCTACGAAAAAAAATCTGTCAAAAAATATTGTTTACCTAAGAACTTTAAATTTATCGATAATATTATTTTTCCAACCAATCCAACTCAGTTGATAATCAGCCTTTTTTTATAGTGAGATAGTTAAACTTAATTAGTTGATTAAAAATCAGATCTAATATTAGTGATTGAGATAAATTAATATAAAATTATCTTTTTTTAAATATGTGGTATTAGGGGTGTCACAAACTCAAAATTATAAGAAGACACAGTGAGATATAATTAATGTGTGAGCCAAGCTGGATAAAAAAAAAAAAAAGTTTACATATTTAATCTAGCCATAGGCCCATAGTCAATAGATATTGTGGCTATACTTAAACTCAATAGAGAACACGTGCTTAGTCCGGCAGGTTTGCCAAGCCACCTCATCTTATCTCAAACTTGACTTCTCCAATCATTTTGCATGCATTGAAAGGGGCACACTAGCCATTGATCATAGGTAAAGTCCATGAGGTCATTAAGTTTCGGTCACAACTACCTAGTAAGGTGTAAGTTAGCTTTCAATTCCTCCAATGCAGTCCTCCTCTTTCTGAAAATCTTGTTATTCCACATAATATAAAATCACTTTATGTTATTATTTCTTGTCTCTTTGTTTGTACTCCTAAAATTAAGATATTACTTTATTGTTTAAGAAAAACCACATGAGTTTTTGATTGATACTATTCAACTCTCCTCCTTCACTTCCCCTCTCTTCTAGTGTCTATCTTTTCTCCATAAGATCAAATATCTTAGAGTTTAAAATAAATAAAAGAAGTGCCATAAAAATTATTTTGAAAATTGATTAAATAAAAGATACATCTAACAATGGAAATTATTAGAACTAATGAAAAAGTGACACTTTGTGACCCTTAATATTTATTTAAAATTAAATAAAAGAAAAAGGAAAAATAATGGAATGGCGATTATTGAGAGAGATGTAATTCTCTTCAATTGTATGTGGTAGTTATTAAAAGAATCTTGTTTTTATATTTTTATTTTCTTAATAATCGAGGGTAATAGGGAGATTATCAAATGAAGTAACGCTTTTATATAAATTAATAAAAATACTAAACTAATCACAATCATGAATATTCCAATCAAACAAATGACTCGTAACAATTCAATTGATGATAGAGCTAATGTGGCACATCCTTGAAATGAGTCTGTAGATTTTTAACGATCTTAAAAGAGTGTTACCACGAAATTTTTTAAGTCGACCCTCAATTGAAGCATGGAGACCAAAGAAAGATGACTTGAAAGGTTTTGATGGTAAAGGAAAGAAAACAATTACCAAACATGAATATGAGCCTTTTTTGGGTAAAAGCATGGAGGAGTACAATAGTTGTGAGCTTACTATGAAGAAAATATTATGAGACAGTGCTTCAAATCATGGTTTTTGAATGTTTTTATGTAGCTTTTAGTTACTCTAGTCATTCTTTTTAGGAGATTGCTCATGAAAAAGGTCAAAATTACAAGGAAGAAAATGTTCTGAGAAAGCATTAATAATATTATTCAGGCTTAAAGAAGCTAATAGTCAGAGCAAGCTGACTTGAAGCAGAATCCAAATCAATATGACTTGAAGGATTTTGATGCTAAAGATAAATAATAATAATAATAATAATAATAATAATAAATAAACAAATAAATAATAAAAAAAAATACTAAATATGAATATGAGCATTGTACCGGAACGGTTCTATCGGTCACGTGGACCAACACGTGTCGTCTCGTTAAACGCCCACGCGGACTTAGAACATGACTACGACCGTGCGTACATGATCATTAATAGCATTAACATCGGCTCGGTCGAAGGCCGAGGGTTGAGGATGACCCAACTCATACCGATCGGCCCGGCCAAAGACCGAGAACAATCAACACCCCAAAGCCTTTATCTATCGGCTCGTAAGAAAAGTCACATGAGCACGTTATTGTGCCCCCTACGTATCGGCTCAGCCGAAGGCCGAGGGTTGAGGACGACCCAACTCATACCGATCGGCCCGGCCAAAGACCGAGAACAATTAATACCCCAAGCCTTTATCCATCGGCCCGGAAAGGGGCCGACAGATAAAGGCAAGGATTACGGCAATGATCAAGATTAACAAGGGCAAACGCGTGATTAAGGTATAATCAGCCGATTAGCGTCGTATTACCTAATTTGGCAAGCTTTAGAAGAGGCCCACTATGAGCAGGGCCCATCAAAGGTAGTATAAATAGGTCACTTATAACGAGGTACGTCACTATTCATTTATTACCCTAGAAAATCGTGCTTATCTTGACTTGAGCGTCGAAGTGCCTTTTGCAAGTACCTCCCCACTCCGGAATATCCACCCGAAGCCCGCATTCGGCCCTTCTACCCACCAGAAGATTACGAGTGTGCCCCCAGACAAGTACATTTTGGCGCCCACCGTGGGGCCGAACCAACAGCTTGAAAAGACGAACTGAGTACTTTTTAGAAGACAGGCACTATGGCAAAGACGAGGAGAACCAACACTGAAGACCACCAATCCGAGGATGAGCACCGATCCGAAGCAGATAATGTCGACCCGCTGTAGCCCTCCACCATCTCACTACCGCTTTGAAACCAGGACCTTTTGCCAACAGCATTTGCAAAAAAACACCCACCGACATGGATGACTTGCGTCGGCACGTCGACAAGTATATGCAGATGGAGGAACTTGCTGAGATCCGCAACCAAGCAAGGGCGGAAGTAGCTGCAAAACCTGAGAAGTCAGCCGAGAACAGTTATCGTGGCCGCCCGAAAGAGCTTGTCCCCCGTGAGAAACCCCCTCGCGGGCCAAGGTATTCACAATATACGCCGCTGAACACCAGCCGATCGGCTATATTGGAACAAGCGCTTGCCTCCGAAGTGCTTGCAGTCTTAAAACGAGCTTCCACCCCCCTCTAGCCGATACGACCAAGTCTTGCAGGTACCATCGCAATCGAGGACATTCAACAGAGGAGTGCTCAGCTCTAAAAGACAAAATTGAGGATTTAATCAAGCAAGGGCAGCTACAAGGTTTCGTTGACCGCCCAACCTCATCCCGATATGCTGAATGGTCTCGCCGACACGATCAGCCCGAACAAGGGGGAGCAGAAAGACGCCCCTATAGGGAACGCAGTCGGTCAAGGGGCCGAAGAGAAGAGGAACCTTCAACACAACCTCGACGGGTCATCAACACTATTGCGGGCGGATTCGCAGGCGGCGGCTCCACCTCGTCGACACAACGAAGGCATTTGAGACCCGTCCAGCACGTACATGCAGTAGAAAAAATCCATCATTGCATGCCGAGCATAACCTTTACTGAGGCCGATTTTAAAGGCATCGACCCAGAAAAAGATGATCCGATGGTCATTAGCGTGGAAATTCACAACTGTATTGTACGTAAGACCTTGGTCGACCAGGGGAGTTCAGCCGACATCCTCTATTGGAACACATTCAAGCAATTGGGCATCCCGGAAATTGAACTGGTTCCTTATGACGAACCTTTGGTTGGATTTTCGAGCAAGCGAGTCAAGACGAAGGGATACATCAAGCTATCGACCAGGTTTGGGTTTGAAGGAGCAGAATACCGAGATGTTTCAGTTAAATATGTAGTGATTTAGGCTAATACGTTCTACAACATCTTGCTCGGCAGGCCATCCTTGAATCAGCTCGGCGCAATCGTCTCCACCCCGAACTTAGCCATGAAGTTCCAGGCCGAGTCGGGACGAGTCATCACTGTCCATGCCGATCAGAAGACCGCGCGAGAATGTTAGTTCGCTAACTTACGGCTACCAAGCATAAAAATGAGGCACTCGAGGGGCCGAAGCGTGTTCACTCGGTAGCACAGCAGTCGGCTGTAGATCTTGACCCCCGAATAGACCAGGATGAAAGGGTCGAGCCCATCGAAGAAAAGTAGCCGCTTCAGGTAGGAGTCATCGAGTCCCAAGTTACTTTCCTGGGAACCAGTCTATCCTAGCAAGAAAGGCTAGCTATCGGACAAGTAATCCTTGACAACAGAGACTTGTTCGCATGGCATCCCTCCGACATGCCCGACATCGACCCCAATTTCCATTGCCACAAGCTTTCAATCAGCAAGGAAGCAAAGCTGATCGCTCAACGGCGCCGGAAGGCCGGGGAAGAGAGGAAAGCAGCGATCGAAGCCGAGGTGTGCAAGTTGTTGGACGCTCAGTTCATTCGAGAGGTGCACTATACGACATGGTTGGCTAAGTTTGTCATGGTCAAAAATCTGAATGGGAAGTGGCGTATGTGCACCGATTACACCAACCTGAACAAAGCCTGTCTGAAGGATGCCTACCCATTTCCCAACATTGATTGACTCATTGATGGAGCATCCGGTCACAAATTCTTGTCTTTCCTTGACGCGTACTCCGGATATAATCAAATCTGTATGCACCCTCAAGATGAAGAAAAGACTGCGTTCATTATCGAAATGGCAAATTACTGCTATAGGGTGATGCCGTTCGGATTAAAGAATGTCGGAGCCACCTATCAGCGCCTAATGAATAAAATCTTCAGCGAACAGATCGGTCGGAGCATGAAAGTATACATTGATGATATGGTTGTAAAATCAGGTGACGTCTTCACACACGTCGGCGACCTAGCCGATGTATTCCAGGCACTCCGCCGACACCAAATGAGGCTTAACCCCAAAAAATGCGTGTTCGGAGTCTCGGGTGGCAAGTTTTTAGGGTTCATGTTGTCCAATAGGGGCATTGAGGCAAACTCGGACAAATGCCAAGCTATCTTGGATATGAAAAGCCCGACAATTTGAAAGAAGTTCAGAAGCTAGCAGGTCGGCTCACCTCGCTTTCTCGGTTCCTCCCTCGTTTGGCTGAGATAGCCCAGCCAGTCCTCATTCTACTGAAGAAGACAGAACAGTTCAGGTGGACCAAAGAGTGCGAGGAGTCCTTCAGACAGTTCAAGGAACGTCTCGGTACACCTCTAATACTATCTAAACCGATCGACACCCTAGATATGATTGTTTATTTGGTAGTATCTAGCAACTCTATAAGTGCCGTCATGGTACAAGAAAACCAGGGTAATCAGCAGCCAATATTTTTCATCAACCGGACGCTGTAGGATGCCAAATGATGTTACCAGTTGTTAGAGAAAATGGCCATAGGGCTTATATACACGGCACGACGACAGAGGCAATACTTCCAATGCCACAGGGTGGTGGTCCGAACCGATTGCCAGATAGCTAAAGTGCTCCGGAAGCCGGAGATTGTCGGCCGAATGATGGCGTGGTCGGTAGAACTTTCTGAGTTTGACGTGTCTTTCGAGCCGAGGGCCCCATCAAATCACAATACCTGGTTGATTTTGTCAACGAGTTAACCCCTCCAGGATGCTTTGAGGACGAACCGTGGACCATGCATGTCGATGGGTCCTCTAATGCTCAATGTAGTGGGGCCGGGATAATCCTTGCTAGCCTATCAGGTATCATAGTGGAACAGTCTCTCCGCTTCGGCTTCCGGGCATCCAATAATCAAGTAGAGTACGAAGCCTTGATAGCCGAAATGAGATTAACAAGTGAGATGGGTGTCAAAAAAATCACGTTGGACTGATTCCAAAATTGTGGTCGAACAGGTTAACGATAATTTTCAAGTTAATGACTTCAACTTGTTACAGTATTAGCACCTGTTCCAGGGGCTCAAGGATGGTTTCAGTGAAGTTCAGGTATGGCATACTTTGTGCAATAACAACGAACGGGCCGACCAGTTGGCTCGGCTCGCCAACAGTCGAAAGCCTGGGCAATTACGAACTACAATCCATCTCAAGATTCCCTCTCCAAGTGTAACTATTGAGTGCATGTTCACCAATTCGAACCAAATAACGAGCTAATGAATCTCCTTCTTTTTGCCATTGAACTTCCCAAGCAAATTCTTCGTAACATTCATAATTATCAACTTTACGCAGATCCCATTGTATTCCAGAAGCTCGAAGCATCGGTCCCGACAAACCCCAATTTATTACTTCCTTTCCATCAACAACACCTATCCCCTCAACCCGTTCTTAAAAAATAGGATTTCGTGTAATAAGTTTTTGATATTCAACAATCCTTGTTAAAAAATAATCGCAGAAATCATAACATTTGCGATAAATGAAGAAGCACCCACCTGGGTCACCCCCATTCGGAACTTTATAATTAACGGCGAACTGTCAGCCGATCCGATGGAAGCAAAGAAAGTACGAACACAAGTGGCTCAGTACTCAGTGGTGGCCGTCGAGCTCTACAGAAGAGGATTCTCCACCCCGCTACTCAAATGCGTCAATGATCAGCAAGCTAATTATGTGATGCGAGAGATTCACGAGGGGATATGCGGCTCTCACTCGGGGGGGCGTACCTTGGCGGCAAAGGTCCTATGAGTCGGTTACTATTGGCCGACTCTAAAGGGCGATTGTGCTGAGTTCGTCAAAAAATGCGTCCAATGCCAACGGCATGGGAACCTCATACACGCCTCGGCTGTCGAACTGCATAGCATTAGTTCCCCTTGGTCGTTTGCCTTATGGGGCATATACATACTTGGACCGTTTCCCGTAGCAAAAGGCCAAGTCAAGTTCCTCTTGGTCGCGGTGGACTACTTCACGAAGTGGATAGAAGCTGAACCACTCGCCTGCATCTCCGCCACCAACGTCCAGAAGTTCGTGTGGAAAAATGTGGTTACTCGTTTCGGCATCTCGTACGCCATCATCTCCGATAATGGCCTTCAGTTCACTGTCAAAAAGTTTAACTCTTTTCTTGAAAACCTCGGCGTTCGGCATTGGTTCACGTCAGTTGAACATCCTCAATCAAACGGGCAAGCCAAGGCGGCTAATAAAGTAATATTGACAGAGCTAAAGAAGAGGTTAGGATCGGCAAAAGGAGCATGGGCCGAAGAGTTATCGGAAGTCCTTTGGGCATACCGATGTACACCCCAATCAACCACTAAGGAGACACCCTTTCGCCTAGCATATGGTAGGGATGCTATGATTCCGGTTGAAGTTGGTGAACCATCATTTCGACGACAGCACTTCAGCGAGGAGTCCAACGACAACTCACTCTAGGCCGAACTGGATGTCTTGGACAAAAAGCGGGAGAAGCCACAAATCGTTGCCGAGTCGTGCAAACAACGAATGAGCCGACGCTTCAGCTCCAATTTGAAGCCGAGAAGCTTCCATGAAGGTGATCTAGTTTGGAGGGCAACTGGGTCAGCAAGACGTAATCCCTTAGAGGGAAAGATGTCGGCCAACTGGGACGGCCCGTTCCGAATATGACATGCTCTGCACAATGGAGCTTACAAGCTTGAGGAACTGTTTCGGCAAGGTCATCCCAAGAACGTGGAATGCGACCCATTTGAAGACATATTATAGCTAGATTTAATTTTGTCTTATGCTTCCGCAATGTACATGTATCACGATGCACTTTTTTCCTTGATCGATCTTTTTCCCCCTTATAAAAGCGTGAAAAGGGGTTTTTGGTCGGCAAGGTTTTTAACGAGGCATCAATTCATTAATGAATATATATTCCAGATACCCAAGATTGTCACAGATTTTTAGCTCTATTTTTTATAAGTCTTCCCTCTCGAGATCTCTCTTGGCCAAGGATGTGGCTTACAAATTAATTATTTACAAGTCTTCCCTCCCGAGATTCCTCTCGGCCAAGGACGTGGCTTAATTATTTACAAGTCTTCCCTCCCGAGATTCCTCTCGGCCAAGGACGTGGCTTAATTATTTACAAGTCCTCCCTCCCGAGATTCCTCTCGGCCAAGGATGTAGCTCAATTATTTACGATATTTTTACGTCTTCTCGGGTTCACTTCTTTTATCAAATCATTGTAATTGTTCAAATATTTTGCTTAATACACCCAACATAGGAAAGCAATCACATGAAATTTCATTAACGGGGCACTATCCACCCACAAGTACATTTAAGAGGCTCTATCGGCCCCCAATTACAAAAGAAACAACAAAAAGCTTAAGACCCCCCCGGCTCCCACTGAATCGGACCGTCCTCTGGCGCCTCCTACTCATACGCCGTCTCTTCTTTGTTCGGCTCAACCTAACGAACCGGCGCTTCCTCGTCAGCTTGTTCGTTGGGGGGATCGGGGCTAAATCCACTAACTTCCCCCAGAAGAAGTCCTTGGTCATGTCCAGGTGGAAGTCAGGGGGGAAACTTCTGAAGAAGGAGGCTTGCCGAGCGGCCTGCGCGAAGCCAGCCTGATGCTGAAAGAGTACCTTGTTACGTGCTTTCTCCCTGTAGGCCCCAAAAGTAACTTTCTCAGCCTCCAACTCCTTAGTCAGCACAGCCCCCTTCTTCGTCTCGGTCTTCAAAGACAGTTCGAGACGCTAAACCTTCAGAGCCAAGTCGTCAGCTACGCGCCCCCAGCGGTCCATCTCGGCCTGGAATTTAGCATTAGCCGTTTGCGCATCAATCAGAGTAGCCAAAGTCTCTTGCAGAGACTTCTCTTGCTCAGACAGTTGTCGGCGCAACTCGTCGGCCTCAGGATTCGGCTCCATCACGATGCTTTTGGCTAAGGCCACCGCTCGGACTTGAAACTCGCAGAAAAAATTCCATTTCTGGGCCGGACTCATACATCAGAACCCCCTGACCTGATGTCGAAGTCAAGTCTTGGCTCAGAAAATTCTGAGCGTTGACGTTAGACACCAAGAAGTTTGGCTCAACCAGACCTTGTGGAATAGGCAGGGGAGCCAACCGCTGTTGTTTGGCCGGATGACCCCTATCCTCGTCCTGGGCTTCCTCGGGCCTTCTTTTT